GGAGATATTGTTGCATTTGTGATATATATATATCGATATTTGAAGAGTCATGTACATTGATTTTTCAGATCATCCTTGTTCAGTCAATAGAGTTAGTATTGAATTGGTTTTAAGGAGGCCTTATTTTTTTAATCCATGCGAGGTGAGAGATTATTCGTATCGAGCTAAAGGCTCTGGCTTCGAGCGTATGGAATATTTCTAAATTGGCGGTCGGTCGATTGTCACCTAAATATCTAGATGAGATAATTGGGTCTGGATTGGCCTTACCAGCTATTTTTAGCTACCGTGAAGGGGGTAGACCCTATCCCGCTGGCTAAAAATAATCTGATAGCGAACGGACTGATGCAAGCTTCCATTACAATGGTCCTGTTCCCTTTTGACGATTCTTATCCTGCTTTCTTTGTTGGTTGATGTATAGAAAGAATCATCAAACCACCCGGTATTCACGAGAACAAACTCAAATTGAAAATGCAAGAGTTTTAGACGTATTTTTCTGTGTGTGATTTCTTAATTTATTGATTTTTTAATTTATTTGATTTGTTGTTGAATTAATTGTGAAAATTCGCAGAAATATAAGATACATTGTAAATATCTTATATAATAATTTTATAGTACTATTTTAAAAATGTAATAGTTATATATATATATTAGAAAAAAATGTCTTAACTTTTGAATTTGCGTAATTTTCGATGTGATCGATCCAATTTTAACGTAACGCGCGATGTCACCCACCGATTGTATTCCAACAACAAGAATTTTTTTTAATATATACATATAATCAAAAACTTGAATTAAAATAGCTTAGATTGTCAACTTTATATATGTCATTAAAAGAGAGCAATCAATTATATTTTAGAACCATCAGTCTGCAAATTAAATGCTACTTTATCAGATATGATATAATATATGATAATACAATCAAATGTGTCATGATTGAATATGACTTTACAAAAGAGATACATTTAATTTCCTTCTCTCTTTTCGTGTTTTTTTTTAGCTATTTTAAGATATAATATAATTACAATAAAGAATATATTGAAATTTTATTAAGATTTTAATAAAATTCTGACGCGATATAGGTCTAGCGAGTTGAGCATGAAAAAAGCACGTGCGCTTCTTGCGGGAAAAATTACCTGTCTAAGGCTGTAATTAGGGACGTTGTTAAAAACGCGAAACACGTAAAACGGATTAACGTGTTAGAGAAGTTTCGTCCGCTTTCCTTCCGCGAGATCTTGGCATTATAAGTTTTTTTAAAAATTATATCCGCGTTCCTTTGAAATTGCAATGTCAACCGAATGCATAGCGTCGTATCTTTGCGTTGATATAACGTTATATTTGCAAATTTTGTAAATGATAGTATTTATTGAAAAATAAAATTACGGAATTATAAAATTGATGATTATAATTTGAACTTTTCAATCGGTTTAAAAATTTGTGTATGCTTTATTTTTATCATTCATTTTATCTTATGCTTTTTATCAGGACTTCCATAAGCGTTGCTCTTAATTCTTTCTGCGAAATATAATAATAATGTAATTAGGTAGCGAATACATAAAATTTAATAGAAAGGAATATACTATAATTCCAGTTTTAAAAAGAGTACAAATATTTCAAAATGTTCAAAAGTGTAGTGTGCAATATGCAATAATTAAGAATGTTTTGGCTATACAATAGTAGCAAAAAACTGACAAAATTTAAAAAAAAAAACATATTTTTTACATTTATACTGTTTGGGAAATTAAATAAATTAATAAAATCTGGATTATAAAACGAGTTTAGCACGAATATTTATTAAAGTTTTTTTAATATATTTGAAAATTTTTATTTTGCTGGCAATGTTTTTTCCTTGTCAAATTTGTCAATAAGTGCTATAATACGCGATTTTTCACAAGAATCAATACAAACTTTAAACCTAAATAATTTCCAAACCGTTAAAAGAATTGTTTACATTTAGCACAGATATAGAATAGTGGAAAACATAACGAAATTTTTATGCTTTTGTCAATGTTTTGACATATGACACATACATCCTTAATAGAATCTTGCATCATTTTGTCCTTCTGCACTTTGCACAAGATCGTTTCTTGATAAATTTGTTTACCTATATACATTTGTATCTTTAAAAGAATACAATAATTTATAACGCAAAAATTAATATACATTTTTAATTATTAAAAATAAAATACAATTTAATTAATAAAATTAATATTAACAATATTTTAATTTTACTTTAAAATTAATGTACAATATTTCAATTTTATTTTAGAATTAATATACAATATATCAATTTTATTTTAAAATTAATATACAATAATTTACAGCGCAAAAATCAATAATATAATCATGATTACATCACGAATTTGAATAGAATAAAAATATCGAACATTGCTATAAAAATGAGCCAGAGCCTTGTTTAAAATTGTAAGAGTAAGGACGTTGATGCGAACTAATATCGCATCTGTCAAAACAATGTTAGGCCCTGCGCACAATAGAGGAAATATTAGGAATAGGAATAAAATATTAAATATCAGGAGGAGCAATTTTGAATTATTTCACTTCAAACAAGGAAACGGAATGGATTAATTATTATTTCTAATTTCTATTTTTTTATTTCATTATGCGTTAATCCATTCCGTTCCCTTGTTTGAAGTAAAATAATTCCAAATTGCTCCTCCTGATATTTAATATTTTATTCCTATTCCTAATATTTTCTCTATTGTGCGCAGCACCTAACATTATTGCAATTTCTAATATCTTCTGTCTCTCGATCATACGCTTACTCTGTTTCTCTCTTTCTAATCGCTCGCTTACTACGTACTGCATATCGCTTAGCTTTATTCTT